CTGGACGCGCGCGCGTGGTACGCCCTCGCCGCGGGGGTCGGTGGGACATCGCGCGCGAGCGCGAGCGACGCGCGCGCGCTCGCGCGCGCGTTGCGCGACGACGCGATCGGTACGATCGACGTCACGGCGTCGTTCGCGTTGGACGACGGTGCGGACGATGGGTGGCCGACGGAAGGGGTGATGATTCGACGGGCGGTGACGCTGCGCGGGACGTGCGACGGACGATGCGCGATCGACGGAAACGGTACCAAGGCGTTTTTGAGCGTCGGGGACGGTGGATCGTTGGTGATGCGAGAGATGGTGATTCGACGGGCGACGAGCGGGACGTCGGTGGGGGGGGGGGTGTTTTTTGGAAGAGGACACGGGGGGGGGGAGGTGGACGGATGCGAATTCGCCGAGTGCGACGCGGCGGCGGGTGGGGGGGTGTTCGTCGCGAGTGGCGACGGTGCGGGACGGGTGACGTTTAGAAATGTGACGTTTACGAAGAATCGAGCGACGGGATCGCCGCCGGCGCGCGGAGGTGGGGCGTTCGTGACGTCGACTTCGGCCAAGGTGATTTTTGAGTCGTGCGCGTTCGCGGAGAACGTCGCGGAGAACGGGATCGGTGGGGGGGTGTACGGACGCGGTGGACACGTCATCGTGAACGGCTGTTCGTTCCGCGCCAACGTTGCCGCGAGTGGGGGCGGGGTGGCGTTCGAGGGTGGAGGTGTGGTGTCATCGAGCGCGTTTTTGGCAAACGTCGCGACGAAGCGCTCGGGCGGCGGCGCGCACGTCGTCGCCGAGACGGACGTCGTCGGCGCGACCGTGAGCGCGGCCGTGCAGAGATCTTCGTTCGTGAATAACTCAGCCGTGAGCGCGGGTGGTGGCGTGTTCGTGTACGGACGCGTTCGCATGCTCGCAAACTCATTCTCGACAAACGCGCTCGACGTGAGTGCGCCCGCCGGGCTCAATCCAAATTATTACGTGTGCACGAACAGCTCCGCGACGGGGTGCTCGATGGCGCCCACGCTGGCGAATTACATATACGATCCCGCGCAGTACGATCCGTTCGAGCAACAGAGCTCTTTCGCGGCGGTGACATGATTTTGGCGGCGCGTTGAAACAAAACTTTTCTTTCATTCATTGTAAAACAGAGTGTACACCGTACCAGGTAGAGGAATAGCGATACAGCGGCGCGCGCGTGTTTTGTCGAAATATATGTTGTACATGACCCTTCCACATCAAGTGATTCTCAGCCGTTCTCTCCGGGTGCTGCTCTCTCACGCCTCGAAGAGCGCCAACCACTCGTGCTTGGAGATTTTGCCGTCGCCGTCCACGTCGAAGAGGCGAACCATGCTCTCCGCCTCTTGCCTGCTTGATTTGCTCGCGGTGTACGCCTCGAGCGCGATTCGAACGTCCTCCACCTCCACCGCACCGTCTCCGTTCGTATCCATGTCCTCGAATGAGATCATCTCGCCGAGTTGGCGCCAGCGCCAGCGACAGAGGTGACGCATGATGAGAATCTTGAACGGCACGCCGTCGTCTGAAAACGTCGCGCTGGACATCGACCCCGCCTCGACACCAAGAGATTGTGCTAATCGTAATCCAACCTCTTCGAACGCTGGAATCCCGTCCGCACCGTCGAGCAAACCAGCCCAGGTGACGACGCGATAGGTGCGCTCGCGATTGAGCGGCTCGCCACGAATCTTCACCTCGAGATCACCCGCGCCCGCGGCATCCGCCGCAGCGCTCACCTCGACTTCGCTGTCCCACAAAAGATAGCCACCCCATGAGCACGTCTCCGTCTTTTGTTCCTCGCTGAATGACAGCGCGCAATAGATATCCGCACCCGTCATGTCGAGCGTGATTATGTTGTTCTCAAACGGGACCTCGGCGACGAAATCGCCGTACGTCAGCGGCGCCTCGTACGTCTTGTTCCCACGCACGCCGCCCGAGTTGTACAGACACAGATCCACCCCGCACTCGTCCCGCAAGATTGTAGCGAAGAGCGTCCCGAGCGTGGTCTGTTGTTGACGCACATCCAAGCTCGAGAGCGGCAGCAAACTGAGCCGCTCGGCGTGCTCGTGCAAGGGCAAGACGTACTCGTGCAAGTCTCTCAACACCTCGCTTCGCTCCCAAATATCACGATCGATCTCCTCGCACCGGTCGTACCCATACAGCGAGTGTAAAGTGGCGGTGACGTGGACGTTACCTCGCTTCGTTCGCACCGTGCTCGTGGGTCCGGGCTGGACATCCCATCCGTGACCTCTCGCCGAGTCCACGCCGTCCATGTTGATCACGTCTTCGATGAAAGCCACTTCCGAGGAAGAGGACGTTGACGACGCCGAACTCTTCGACGTCGACGTCTTGACGCCAACTCCTTTGTTGTTTTCTTCGTGGCCTGCGTCCTCGTCCGAGCTCCCACAGACGCTGGTTGAGCCAACGCGAATCGCGCGCGCCAAACTCGCCGCGCCTCGACCGCCGCGCTGACTAGCGTCGGCGGCTTCCTCGAAACCTCGACCCTCGTCTTCGTCATCGTCGAACATCTCGAGCGTCACCATGACGACGTTTTCACTGTCCATGCCCGCCTTGAAGCACAACACGTCCGTGCCCTTGATCGCGCCGTGATACGGATGATGCTCGTGGCCGCCCAAGATGATACCGAGCTCGGGAACTTCCCGAGCCAAAGCTTCGTCTTCGCACAGCGTTTGATGCGTGAGCGCAATCGTGAGATCCACCTTTTGATCCTCATTTTCGGCGTTATCGAATCCATCGACGATGTCCCGAACGACTGGAATGACGTCTTCGAAGATGACCCCTCGCGGCTTGACCGCGCTCGACAAGGGGGTCGACGTCGTGCACACGCCGAGCAAGCCTAAGCGCAACCCACCGCGTTCGACGATCTGTGTCTTCGGTAGATGATCCACGAATCCGCCCACTCTCTCGCCGTTCTCATCTAACCCGTTCGCGTCATCCGTGGACACGATGTTGGAGTTCAAAACAGTCGCCTCGAGCTCGCTCAACCTTTGGCCCAAGATCATCGTCGAGTGATCAAACTCGTGGTTCCCCAAACACGCGTGCGTCACCGGCACGGCGTTCATCACGCTCACCGCCGCCGCACCTAAATCGTACGACGACAGTAAAGACGGAGATAAGAAGTCGCCGTTCAAAGTGCATATAAAGTCATCCGCGTAGTCGTTCGTGTGCCTTCGAATGAACACGCTCAGGCGCCCCAAATTTTCGAGCTCGTACACGTCGTTCACGCTAAAAATCTTCAACCGCCGCGTCGGCGTCCGTTCCCTCGACGCGCTCGACGCCGAATCACCGTCCGAGACCGCGCGCGAGACGCGTCGGCGCCCCTCGCGTCCGCGTACGACCACCCCTCCGACCCCCCGTCCGCGCCCACGCGCGCACCGACCCCTACGCTCGAGCGCACACCGCGCGCGCGCGCGCGCGGTCGCCATTCGACCGAGCTCCGCCCGCCGTCGCCGACGTCGACGCCGATGCAGTCACCCGAGTCGCGCGCGCGCGTTTGAAAGATCCACCGTCGATGCGCGCGCGCGCGTCGCTTTGACGCGCGCGTCGGTCGCGCGCGACGCGCGCGGTTGGGTCACCGAGGACGACGGCCGACGCGCGCGTCGCCGACGCGGCGCGACGTCGCGCGTCGAGGAATCGCGCGGGCGTCGTCGGGGGCGCGATTGTTGCGTGGATATGTCGTGGCGTCACGTGTACACATATAGATACGGTGTGGGACACATATAGGGGTCGTGACTCGTCAAGAGGACGCATCGGGACTAAAAATATACCCGCAATATCATACCGACAACCCCCCGTGTTCCGCGGCTAAAGAAATTCCCACGTCTTCGTTACATCAAGCGTTCATCGCACCAGTAAAGCACCCGTTCCCATCAGCACACGGAAGTTAAGCCTGGTTGTGGCTGATTAGTACTACCGAGGGAACTCGGTGGGAATCCCGGCTGACGCTTGGTTTCTCTTTTGGTTTCATTGGGTCGTTCACGGCGTCGTTTCTCTTGTCGTCGCGTTCGCGGCGTGGTTTCGCTTTTGGTTTCGCTTTTGGTTTCGCTTTTGGTTTCGCTTTTGGTTTCGCTTTTGGTTTCGCTTTTGGTTTCGCTTTTGGTTTCGCTTTTGGTTTCGCTTTTGGTTTCGCTTTTGGTTTCGCTTTTGGTTTCTCTCTCTTCGTTTCTCTCGTGGTTTCTCTCTCTTCGTTTCCCTCGTGGTTTCTCTTTGAGCCCTGAGGCGTGTTCCAGGGTGCGGTCCCCGAGCGACGGCGAGGCGCACCCTACCGATCGCGCGCGTCGCCGGAGTGCTCGACGCGCGCGATGGCGAGCGGATTCGGCGCGCGCGGGAGCGAGGGGCGGTGCGCCCCGCTCTGGCGGGAGTTCGCGCGCGTGCGTGGTCGTCGCGACGCGCGACGAGGCGAGCGAACGCGACGCGCGCGCGCGAACGAATCGAATCGAATCGATCGACCGCGACGGAGACGACTGACGGTGCGTCGCGACCACGGGCGCAGTGCGTGAACGACGCGGACGATCGAAGCGCGTGTTTCAAGTTCCGGGAGGATTACGTCGAGTGTTTGCATCACAGGAAGGAGTACACGCGAGAGAACGCGGTGGCGGCGGAGCGGCGGAGGCGAAACGATGAGACGTTGGAGGGCTTGGTGCACGAGATGCGCACGATGTCGTGGGTGAAAGATCCGAAGTACGCGCCGAAGGAGTGATGGTGATGGTGATGGTGATCGCGCGTCTTCTGTCGCGTCCACGTAGGGGAGTTGTATCAACAAGCGAAAAAAGAATCAAATTGCGCGCCGTCGGCGCGGCGTCTACACGTCTAGTCTACAATCCGTCCTGTCTCCCATCAAACCCGCGTTCGCTTCACCTCGCCCTCCTCGCGCGTCGCGGTTTGATCACTACCACCATCGCTCGCCTTGCGTTTTATCTCGTCGTCGTGCGGTTTCTCCGCCTGGACGATTTTCCTGTGCGGATACACCACGCGCGCGTCCCCGGCGTTGCCCTCGTAATCGAATATGTTTCGTTTCGGTTCGGGATCATCTTTCGCGAAGTAATCGAAATCGGTGAGCGCCTCGTACGCCGTGGGACGCTTCTCCGGATCGTACGCGCACAGTTCTTCGAAGACGTGGCGAATCTCGGGCGCGAGCGCCTTGTCTCGCATCGGCGCCCTCTCGTCTGGTTTGACCAATTCGCTCTGACTATCCGCGAACAAGCACGACTTCGCCTTATCATAGTACGGGTGATCGATGACCAAAGGCCACTGGTCGACCGTCGGCGTTCCCTTGTGCTTGACGATGGACTCGAGCTGTTCGTACTGGTACATCGTGCGCGGATCCTCCTTCTCCTTCGGAATGCCCTTGAACGGTACAACAAGAGTCACGAGCTCGGCGAAGATGCACCCAGCGGCCCAAATATCGATCGCCCGTGTGTAATGCCTCGCCCCGAGTAAAAGCTCGGGCGCGCGATACCATAGGGTGACCACCGGTCCGTTTTCGTGCAACGGACGCAGGACGCTCGCGGGATCGACGAAACGCGCGAGGCCGAAATCCGCAATCTTCACCACCCCGCACTCGCTCCCGTCCCCCATCACGAGCACGTTCTGAGGCTTGATGTCTCTGTGAATGATCCAATTCGAGTGCAAATACCACAGCCCGTGTAACAGCTGCCACGTCGCGCTCTTCACCATTCTCGGATGGACGTATCGTCGATGTCGTCGATGCCACGTCAGAATCGCCCCCAGATCGTACTCCGCGTAATCGATCGCGATCGACAGCGACAACTCCGCCTTATCGACGATCACCTTGTGCAACCGCACGACGTTTTCGTGCTTCATCGCTCGCAGCATCGTGACCTCGCGAACCGTCGGCGCCGGCAAGCCCACCATCTGCTCCCGCCCCGACGTCGACGTCGGCGGCGCCTTAAACGTCTTGATCGCGTACACCCGACCTACACGACGATAGTACGCGTCAGTCCACGCATTCACGGCCTCGCACATCGCGCCACGCGCGTCGCCCGTCGCGTCGTTCATGGAAAATCAAAACGTGCACGAATCCGCACCTCTCCCGTCCCTCGCGTGCATCACGCGCCCGAACGCGCCCTCACCGATCTGCCCTTGGATCTCAAACCCATCGTCCTCGCGCGCGCGCCGCGCCATGCGCGTCGCGAGCGACGACGCGTCGCACACCGACGCGATGCGATGGATTCGAGGTTGAAATCACGCGCGAGATCCCCACACACGCCCGCGCGCGCGCGTCCCGAGCCGTCGTCGACCGCGTCGAACGATCCCGGGGGCATCGTCCGAGGCCGTCGCGGCGACGTGCGAGCGAGCGCGATGGCGGGCGCGGGGAGAGACGACGATGACGGCGGCGAGGATTTGAGCGCGATCGTCGAGGCGGAAGAGGACGCGGTCGATCGGAGCGTGCATCCGAGCGGGATCGTGCCGGTTTTACAGTGCGTCGGAGACGTCGTCGGTGACGCGACGGGGGGCGGGCGCGGGGGGGGGGCGAGGGAGGGGGCGGGCGCGAGATCGGTGAAATTGTCTCCTTCGGGCGAAATCAGCGGGCGGGCGAGACGCGACGCGACGCGCGCGATGGAATATAGACTGATGAGACTGATGACGTACGCAGGAACATCGTGGCGACGGTGAACTTGGATTGCAAGCTCGACCTGAAGACGATCGCGTTTCACGCGAGAAACGTGGAGTACAACCCAAAGGTGAGACGCGCGACGCGCGCGCCAACCCTAGGGGAACCGACGCGACGAGACGAGAATGACTTCGTGGGCGTTTGAGAGCCTCGCGAGCGGTACACTGACGTGAAATCGTTCCAAATTACAGCGTTTCGCGGCGGCGATCATGCGGATCCGGAACCCGAAGACCACGGCGTTGATCTTCAGTTCAGGTAAGATGGTGTGCACGGGTGCCAAGACGGAGGCGCTCGCGCGCGAGGCGGCGAGGAAGTACGCCAAGGTCATCATCAAGCTGGGTTTTCCCGCGCAATTCAAGGATTTTAAAATTCAAAACATGGTGGGGTCGTGCGACGTGCAGTTCCCGATTCGATTGGAGGGTCTGGCGTGGCAACACGGGCACTTCGCCCAGTATGAGCCCGAGCTCTTTCCCGGTTTGATTTACCGCATGCAAATGCCGAAGATTGTGCTCTTGATCTTCGTCTCCGGGAAGATCGTCCTGACTGGCGGCAAGCGCCGAGAAGATATATACCAGGCGTTCGAGAATATATACCCAGTGCTCACGGAGTTCAAAAAGTTGGCGCAACCGGAGGAGGGCGCAACCGCGGCGCTTCCGGCGGCAAAGTGATGCTTGCGCAGATTTAAATCGACCAGTGCGGTCGAACACCTTAGTCAGACAGAAAACAAACAAACAAAAATTAGAAATTTCGGCGATTAACGAGGAGGCGAACGCGGAGGAACGCGTTCACGGAATGGACAGAGACCACAATTGATAGCGCTCTAGTAGAGGACGCGCGTATCGTCTTACGTCGAGCTCTTCGACTGTCTCACGAGCGACTCACGCGCGCACGCGCCGAAAGAGGCGCGCACCGCATCGCTCGTGCGCATCGAGTACGCTCGCGCGGACGACCGCGCGTTGTAAAAACACACAAGCAAGAAACCAAGCCAAAAGGTCCAAAAGAGTCGCGTCGTTGAGGGCTGGGAAAATCCAAAGATCGTGATTCGCGATAAATCTCAAAAACCTTCAAAGGTACATACAAAGACAAAACATAATCCCATCATTCCTAAATGTTCGTTATCGTATCAGGCCAGCGTCGCTCGCGCGCGACGACGACGGGACGCCGACGCCGACGCACACCACGACGCCGTCGACGGAGAACGCGATGCTGTGCACCGTGAATGTTCCCGCGCTCCGCGCCTCGCGCGCGGCGCCGCTCGCGAAGCGCGAACGCCGAGCGAAGCGAACCGCGATCGCGAGTAAGGTCGCGACGAAGGTTGCGACGATCGAGTCCGACGAGATCGTCACGCGTGGACAGGTACGTCGCGCCGATCGATCGTGAGACGTCGTGTGGAATTATTCTCGACAACTTGTGCGGTCGTGCGCGCACGGAGAGGTGAAGAACGCGGGGAGCGAGTGAGAAATCGCAGGCGATCACCGGGGGGATCGGATACGGATATCGAGCGCTTCGACTGGCGTGGTTGGTGGATTAGGCGACATCGAGCGTCGATACGAGTCACCGAAGTGGCTGTAAACTCGATAAAGAGATGGAACGAATAATTGACTGACGATTTACCGACGCGCGCAGACGGCTGCGATGAGCCTCGCGGCGACGATGTTGTTCGCGGATCAAGCACACGCCGCGCAGGAAGTCGGTGACCTCGCCGGTATTGACGGTCGCATCGCCATCTTCTTTGTGTTCGCTCCGGTCCTCGGCTGGGTGGCTTACAACATCCTCGGCCCGGGTCTCCGTCAGTTTGAGGACATGCAAAAGAAGAACGCGAAGTCCAAGGGTGTGCTCGCCGGCGCGGGTTTGTCTGCCGCCGCGCTCCTTGGTATGCCGGAGGCTTCCGACGCTGCGGAAAAGCTTGGTGACCTCGCCGGTATTGACGGCCGCATCGCCATCTTCTTTGTGTTCGCTCCGGTCCTCGGCTGGGTGGCTTACAACATCCTCGGCCCGGGTCTCCGTCAGTTTGAGGACATGCAAAAGAAGAACGCGAAGTCCAAGGGTGTGCTCGCCGGCGCGGGTTTGTCTGCCGCCGCGCTCCTTGGTATGCCGGAGGCTTCCGACGCTGCGGAAAAGCTTGGTGACCTCGCCGGTATTGACGGCCGCATCGCCATCTTCTTTGTGTTCGCTCCGGTCCTCGGCTGGGTGGCTTACAACATCCTCGGCCCGGGTCTCCGTCAGTTCGAGGACATGCAAAAGAAGAACGCGGGCAAGAAGTAGACGGTCTCAGGAGAAGATCGTTGCAGACACCGCCCTAGTATTTAGTCCCCAAGTTCGCAGCGTTCCTATTTGGGTGCCTGCCGCTCGAGCAAGCTTGTAAGAATGAGAAACATGTCGAACTAAACTACAAAACTTATTAGCTATTTTGCGAAGAGATCCGCAAAGGGATCTTTCGATCCCCCACCCTTAGCGACGCCGCCCGAGAGCGAGCGATTCGCATCCGTCGGCGACGTCGTCGATGGTGGTGCCTGCTTAGGCGGCGTCAGCGACATCAAGTCAATCTGCGAGAAGACGTCCCCGGATGACTGCGCCGGTGGCGGCGGCGGCGCATTTGCTGAGGGAGCGGCGAGCTCTGAGAGGAGATCGAACGTAGCGGATGGCGCCGTCGTGCTCCCGCGCATCGTCGGTGCTCCTCTCGGAGGTGGTGTGAACGCATTCGCCGGCTCTTTACTGCGAGTTGAGGGACGTGAATCTCCAAACAAGGCGTCGGCGAGCTTCAACTTCATCTCGTCAACGTGCACTTCGGTTGGTTGATCGCGAGCCCGCGATGGCTGTTCCGTCGCAGATATCGCGTGTGCCTGGAGACCACCACTGAGGAAAGTGTCCAGATCATTTTTCTGCGCCGACGGCGCCGTGGACGAAGCCGGAGAAGTTGGCGCGGGCTCGTGCAATTGCTTGCGCTCAAACGTCGGAGGAGTCGAGCTGCGCACCACACTCGCATTAGCCTTGACGCGAGATTCCACCGCTCTGGCCCGCGCCTCGGCCTCAACCGCTGCCGCCGCATCTCTCGATACCTTATCCTGATACGGCTTTGACCCATTCGCGAGAGCATTTGAGACGTACTGATTCAACGAACTCAGCGAGGCGTCCACATCAACTTCAGCTGCAGAGGCTTGAACGACGCTCGAAAGGATCGGTTCTCCCTCGGCGATGAGCACAGCTATCTCTGTCGCGCGTTGTTGTTTCTCAACACACTTACTTTTCATATTCATTTCGACGAAATGCCGAGCCTTGTCGCTTAGACCTCCGCCGTTTCGTCTCGCAATTTTCGCCAGAGCACTCAAAATTAACGTTTCAACATCCGCGCCCTCCGCCTGACCTTCCGCCGCGTCGACAAGCGTATCCATAAGTACTTTTGCGCTCTGTCCCGTAAGCTCGCCGAATTCGCCCATGACGAAAGCCATCGTCTCCAAGAGCACGAGCGGTAGCTTGGGCTTGTTGAACAACTTGAGGAAAGCGTTGACAGCAGATTTTTGCGCAAGTTCGTCCGCGGCGGGGTCGCCCGTGCCCTCGGCGATGAGACGCATGAGACCTTGAGCGATGGAAGGTCTCACCACATCACCTGCGACGACGAAGAGCTCCGTCATCGTTTCGACGTACCACTTGGCGTCCGGGGCGTACCTCTCTGACAACTCGGCCACGCGTGAGGCAGTCTCCTCGCGGACGTACTGCTCGCTGTACTTATCACCGTCGCGCTTCAGAAATGCCAACATGCGCTCGACGATCACCTCCACGTTATTCGGTTTTGTCATCTTGTACAGCAAATCGAGCGTCTTTTTCCGTAGAGCCTCATCTGAGTCTTCCAAACAGTCCACCACCGCCATTTGGTGCTCCGCCGCGTACTGCGCGTTCACGTTCACGATGCAAGCCAAGGCGTTAAGTCCGATATACTTCAAGTTGTTGTTTGAGCTTTTTATGAACCGAGAGACGACGAGCGCGCACTGAGCCAACAACTGGGGACTCGGATATATGCTTGCGATGGTTCTCACCGTCTCATACACGAGCGCGTTCCCGATCTGATTCTTCGTGTCCGATCTCGCGAGCGTGTCCTCGAGCACGCTGTACATCTCTTTGCTAGTCTCTCTATCATGCGCACCAAGAATAGCCAACGTCTTTAAAAGTTTGATCTGCACAAACGGCGCCGGCACCTTGTGATAATCGTACGATTTAGCCAGTCTCCGGTCAATAATCTGCTTTAGCACGCTCACGAAGCTCGACGTCAAATTCTTGTGCAGCTCTGGATTTAAAGCGATCAAATCGTGCAGTGCGCACACCGCGGCGGACATCACGCTTGGATCCTTATCGCAAATCATCTCCCGAAACTTCCCGTGCATGTGACTCACGCTCTGCGGACTCTTTTGATGAAACCGCATCAGCGCCATGACCGCCTTCTTCCTCACGTGCGCGACCGGGTGCATCAACAACTCGGTCACCTGTGGCAACACCGCAGGAACCGTCTCATCGTTCACCAACTGCATGATGGCCGTCAACGCCGAGCACACCACTAAATAGTCGTCGCTCTTCAGGTCTCGCTGCACTGTGTTTACGATCAAAATCATCAAATCGTGCGTCTCGTTCAAAAATGACGTCGTTGCCAGGTATCCGGCGCGCTTTATCGCCACCTCCGGCTCAACGCACGCCTTAACCGCGTGTATATGTCCGAACGACACGTCGTGTCCCAGCATGTCCAGATACATCAAACGGAGCATGATCTCCTTAATCTTGTGCTTATCAACCTTTGGTTGCTCCAAGAGCGCTCGAAGTAACATGGACTCGCGTTGCATGATCGCATCTTCGTCCGTTTTGCTCTTACACTCCCCTGTGAGCGCGCAAGACGATGGAAAAGGGTCAGTTTGGGTCGATTTTGGGAAAAGTTCGGAATTCAGTTCACGAGCGAAACGTCGACGACGGGCGAACGATCAAGCTCAGAGACGCACCGATGCGACGGATGAGATCATAGAAATCCTTAGATTTGTTCTTTTGGACGGGCGTTTGCGGCGACATCCCGACCTCTCGCGAGAGTGGATGTGAAGCGCTCGGAGCGGGACGTTCGAGAGAAGACTGGAACGGTACGTATTACATGCACGCTCTTGGAATGTTTCGATGAAAACGGCGCGTCACTGGGAGTTTTCTTCGGATTTGTGGAGCAGGAGCTCTTGGGCGTTGCCCTCTATCAGGGCCTTAGCCGTTTTGACGCCGCGCGGGAGGAAGTTGGATCCGTACGCCCACCTGACGTGACGCCGGTAAATTGTAAAGTTCAAGAATGAGTTACCCCAGTGAGTCTTGATCTGTCTCGTCTCGAGCGGCTCGAAGCAACAGCATGACTTGAGCATGGAACGGCAGGATGGTCGGCACAGGTTGGAATCGTTAATGACGAGATGCGACAGAAGCGGAAGCTCGGCCGCGACTCGCAAGATGTGATTCGTCGTCTCGTAGTCAAAGTTTTGCGTCGTCGCGATCACCACGTTGGCGGTGCGACAGGTATGCAGGCAGTTCTCGGCTCTGTCACACACGAACTCCACGCCTCGAAACTTTTGTCGCGCCTGCTCGACCAACTCCTCCTGACACTCGATCCCGCACACGTTGACTCCCGGAAACTTCTGAGCGAGACCGGCGCAGAACGAACCGCACCCTGACCCCACGTCCACGATCGACCCCTCCCTAGACTTCTTTCCGAACACATTGTGATCCTTCAACAGCGCCGCGATGTCGTTGTCGCACGTCCGTCCGGGATGCAACGCGCGTCTGCTCGGCTCGTTCAGCGCTCCGGCGTTCGAGTCGTCCCTCGTCGTCTCCGTCGCGCTATCCGTTGCCTCGTCCTCGCAATCGATCAGCGCTCTCGGACCACACATCAAAGCCTTCGGAACGCTCCGCTTCCCCCCCGTCTCTCTCGCCAACGCCGGATGTCTCAACAAAGTCCCGTTCGGCACTCTCAGAGTCAAACGCGCGTCGCCTTCGGTGACGTCCAGCGCCCACCCACCACCCTCCTGCCCGTGCAATTGTCCGTGATTCAACGTCGTCGATCCCCATGTCAACATCCACGACTCCTGTCCGCTCCCCGGCGGAAGTTCCACGCACCGATCCACCAACGTCGCTCCTCTGAGTTTCGTCGACACCCGCAGCGGAACCTCCGCGCACGTCACCCTCTCTCCGTCCCCCTCGTTCGACCGTCCGCGCGTTCGCGAGCCCCACTCGATCGTGACGTATATCTTCCCGATTTCGTTCGCGTTCGACGTCGACGGGGCGTCCGAGACGTCGATCGAGCTCTCGGGAGATTCATTTCGTCTCTTCTTTGTCTCGCGCTTGTCTTTCGAATTTTCCGTCGCTCCCAAGCGACGGGCGCCCGCGAGCATCCCGGCGAGCATTCGTCACGGGACGGAGGTGGGTTGAATGGTTATGAGTCGCCGCGTGGGCGCTCGATGGACGCGCGGTGTGAGGGGGTCGACGATGGCGTCGGGCGTGGGGCGCGGGGCGGACGCGCGAAGCGGGACGGGTCACGGAGCGGTTCAGGCGCGCGGAGAGACGGGAACGCGGTGAAGAATATCGCGTACCACGGTGATACAACGACCGACGAGAGGACTCGCGCATGAGAGCCCCGCTCGTCGTGACTACTAATTAGGCTGAAACTTTATTCGAGGCGCCTCGACGCGAGTCTCATCACAATGGAGACGGACCGATCGCTTCGACGACGCGCTCGAGACTCAACTCTCCCGCGCGCTTACAAACCGGAGCGACCCCAGACAACCAAGGACAAAGAGAACGAGAACGTGGCCATGATGGCGGCCCACGCCACTTGCACGATGAACGGCTCGCCCTCAGCCACTTGGCCGACCGCCTCGACGACGGCGGCGTGCGCCGGCGCCGCGGCGACGACGGACGCCGCGACGGACGCGACGGACGCGAAAGCAACCTGCAAGTCGTCAAAAATCACCCCGTCAGTCTCTTACACCACTGTATCACTCGAAAACTCTCCGCGTACACCCCACGAAAGCCCAGCGCGAACCCCCGCGCCGCGGTTGTCTCTGAGCTTATCCAACAGCCCGAGCGCTCGAGCGCTCGTTATCCGCCGCGCACGCGCGCCGCGCGTCCCCGAACCCGCCCACATCCCGACCCACTCGGCGCGCAGCCCTTCACCGCGCTCCAACGCGCCGTCAAACCCCCTCGAACACCGTCGGAACGCGCACGAAACCCCGATCAACGACCGACGCGCGCGCGCGCAGCGATCGACGAGGGCTCGAGCGTTTGCCCCGATGGCTCGACGATCATCTCCCGCGCGCGTCACCGCGCACGATTCCCTCCCATCGTTCGACCCCGCAAACGACGCGTACATTTACGACGCATCGCTCGACCCACCGCGCGCGCGTCACATCTCGCGAACGACGACGCGCGAGCGCGCGCACCGTCGCCCGATCGCGCGCCGCGATGGGGACGACGACGATGCGCACACGCACCTTTTCCTCGGTCTTGCTCGCCTTGACGACGACGCGCGCGGCGCGGCTCGCGCGCTTGGTCGACGCGCGAACGTTCGCGCGCGTGGCGACGCGGGAGGTGGACGACACGGCGAACATCGTGCGCGTCGAGACGAAATCTGTGGCGCGCGCGCGCGCGACGCGCGTGGACGTCCACGGCCGCGGCGCGCGTTTTGCGTATTCAATGGGGTTTAAGCCACATCGAGGGGTTTTGGGTCGACCGCGCGCGAGGTCTCGGATGTCGCCACATGGTGTTTTCGCGCGTCGAATGCGTGGACACCGGTGTGTGCATCACACATGGGCGTGTATCACGTATAATACGTACCACGCAGCCCGCGTGCGATGCACGGGGCGTCGCGGTGTGCGTGGTGAAAAGCCTAAACCCTAAAGCCCCACCAGGGGAACGACGCGCGCGCGTCGGCACATCGCGTCGACACGCGCGCTCGCGACGCGTCGCGCGGGTCCTCACGCGCGCGCGCGCGTCGGAGTAAAAATACCGCGTCGATTGAGACGCTTCGTGCGCGTTTCTGATGCTCGCGCGATCGCCGAATGGGGGATTGGTCTCGGAAAAAGATGAGAAGATGAATCGCTGCGACGGGAGAAAACATAACGACGGCGACGTGGAGTTCGCGTGGGAGACCGCGAAGGAAAACGTCCAACCGTTGAGAGGTGGTCGAGATGGGAGAGCGCTGAACGACGCGGTTTTACGAGAAGCGCGAGCGGGGATGCGTGGAGAGGGTGATGATGACGACGCGGAGAAGGCGGCGCTGTGGGCGCGAGCGACGACGGGGACGAGCGACGACGCTCTGGGAGATTGGTGCGCGTTGATCAAACACGTCGAGCGGAAGTATCCGACAGGGAACGGGCGAGAGCGTGAGGTCGTTCCCGCGCTCGAGCGGTGTGCGAGGGAGTTACAGGACGAAGCGCGGTACAAGGAGGACGCGCGGTACCTGCGAGTGTGGATCAAGTACGCGGATTGTTGCGCCGAACCGGGAGATATATTCAAGTTTTTACGCGCGAAAGAGATTGGTCAGAGACAAGCTCTGTATTATGAGGCGTACGGCGCGTTCTTGGAGATTCGTCACGCGTACGGGGCGGCGAATGAGCAGTATGAGAGAGGGATTGAGATGCGCGCCGAACCGCTCGACCGCTTGCGGGCGTCGTACGCTTCGTTTCAGCATCGCATGGTTCGCCGAACGCAGAAGCGCGTGGAGAGTGGAGAGATCGATGAGGATCAAGGGGAGGAGATAGCGCGCAGTTTCGGTGATACGCTCAAGACTCGGTCGAGAACTGGAGGCGCGGTGAGCTCTCGTCGCGGCGCGGCGCAACCAGAGGCGCCGCGTGGTTTATCAGGACCCTCTCGCGGCGCGCTCGCCGAGCCGTCGACGTCGAACGCGCAAGAAGGTGGATTGGAGATTTATGATGACGCTGAAAACGGAGCACCGACGCCGGGTGCGAACACGGAGACGGCGCGATGGGAGAATTTGGGTTCGTACAGAGAGATGCGCAAGGAGAACTCGGCGCAGGCGACGTCTTGGAATGGACAGCGTGCGACGCAGAGCAAGCGCAAAGTCACCGTGCCTAGCGATGAGATAACGGTTTACGAAGACACAGAGTGCTTGAACGCGAGCGACGTCAAGGCGGCCACCGCGAGAGGGTCTTCCCGAGGACAAGGGTCTCTCAGGCAGCGCGCCGACGGCAAAGCAGACCTGAGCCGAGACCCAATGCTCTATCACAAGAGCGGCGCGCCGGTACCTCCGTTAGCACCGGGCGAGCGCCCAAAGACCTTATATCGCGCATTCAAGCCCGCGGACCTTCGTTCGGCGGACGGTGAGGAGATGTGCTACGAGGAACTTCGAGCAGCGGCATGGGTGCGCGCCAACGGTCCGACACGCAGACCGCGAGCGTTTCCGGGACCGATCATCGAGCCCGCGGAGGGAGATCACGAGATGGATATGGATATCGAGGACGACGACATGAATGTACACGAAGATGCGAGCGCGCTTCCGCAACTCGCGACGAGATCGACTGGCGATCGCGCGGGCACTCTCGCCCAAACGGCCTCGGACACCAAGGATGAGGAATTCGTCTCCAAGCGTTCGTATGTCGCGCCGCCGTTGCCAGTGGGATCTCGAAGTGGATCGTGTGCGAGCGAACCATCGGAGGCTCGTTCGAAGACGGCCGATCCCGCCGAGAACTCCCCGAAGGCGAAGAGACCGACGCTTGAGAACAAGAAGGTGAGTGCAGGCGCACGATGGACCGCGGATGAGGGTGGCACGCGCTCTGCGATTCAAGATCCGACGATGACGATTTGTACCAAGGAAGCATGGGGTGACATCATGAGCATGTTTAGTGATTCTGTTGCCCCGGGCGATGGGGGATACGACGCCGATCTGAGCGCTGACGACGCGGCTCGCCCAAAGAAGGGAGTCGCTTCGGCACCCGCACCGACGCCGACACCAGCGGAAGATTCCGGCAGCTTGTGCGTACGGGAGGACACGTGCGTGCTTTCGAAGGAAATGCTCGCCGCGCGATTAGCGGAGTCTCGTAGACCGGTGGAGCTCAGAGAACCAAACGACAACGGATTGTTCGTGCGCGAAGACACGGTGGCCATACCGAAAAATTTGACCAGTCTGAGCATTTGCGAGGACACAGAGTGCATCCCAAACTTTGCCTCCATGGTGACGACACCCGGATCGGCTGCCCCGGCGCCGCACTCGGCTCGACGAGTGAAAGGACTGAAATCGACTCCCACGGCTGGCCTGCGAGAGGCCACACCGAAGAATGCGTCGACGGCGAAGAAGCGTCCGGCGCTCGCGCAGTTGCAGCTCATCAACCCGTTCAATGAGCAAGCCATGGATGAGCACCTCACCTCCCTCGCACTGAGCGCTGAGACGGACGTTCACATCGACAATAAGTCTTCTAGCGCATTGACCCTCGCCGATGCGGCGAAGTGCGTGAGTAAGGGTGGAAAGCGAGCCGCGGCTGGAGTCGCGGTGACGCTTGGTGACATCTCTTACGTCTTCAAAGGACGCATCGGCGAAGGTGCGCACGCCGAAGTCTACGAGGCCGAGTTGGAGAGCAAGGCGAGAACTTCGAGCGAAGGAGACGTCGGCGCGTACGCACTCAAGGTTCAGGAGGCTCGATACGCGAAGTGGGAATTTGTTGTCGCTCGGCGCTTGCTCGAGCGACTTCCGGCGGAGGCGTCCGCGGCGGTGAATTGGGCGCAGCCGACAGCGCTACATCTGCTCGGCGGGCGCGATCTCGCGGGCGAGGACGCAACCATGGGAGTCCTCGTCATGCCGTTCGGCGAGCACGGCACGTTGCAAGACGTCCTGAACTCTTACCTGCGTGAGGGCAAACAAATGCACGAGACGCTCGTGATGTATTACGCCGTCGAGTTGCTTCGTTTGGTCGAATGGATTCACGGCGCCGGCATCGTGCACGCCGATCTGAAACCCGATAACTTGCTTTTACGTAACGGAGGAGACGATTGGTGCGACTGGGCGCCGCATCGACCAGGATCGTGGGCTGAAAAAGGCCTCGCTCTCATCGATTACGGACGCGCGATCGATCTGCTCATGTTTCCGGAGGAAGCCGCATTTGTCGGTGACGCGGGCGCCGAAGCTTTCAGATGCGTCGAGATGATGCAAGGAAAGCCGTGGACGTACCAGGCCGATTGTTACGCTATCGCGTCGACGATTCACTGCCTACTCTACGGTTCGTACATGGAGGTTGAGCTCACGCCTGGGACGACGAATACGTATCGCCAGCGCCAGCCGCTTCGTCGATACTGGAAAACCGAGCTCTGGGAAGTGATTTTCGATCGTTTACTTAACCAGCCGACAGATTCGACGCCGCCACCGCTCGGATCGCTCCGGTCTCTCCTCGAGGAACAAATGCGCGGCGAAGGTCAAAACATACGCAAGCTCCTCATGCACCAGACGATTGACATGTATCAACAAATTCGCGACGGCAAAGTCAAGTGAGGGCGCCGCGTGGCGGTACTTGTAAAACATTTCATTCACACGCACAAGAGGCACACAAAAACTCCCGCAAATCGTGACGTGATCGCTATTCATTCGTCTCTGATGACAGACCGGCGGAGACGAGGCTCTCGCGCATCGCGAACGCGAGCGTCTCGTACTCGCTCGCGGAGATATCCGGCATGTACAGCGTCCAATCGAACGAGTGTCTTCGAGAGATGTGATCGTACAGATCGTGCACTCGCAACGTCGGATCACCGTGAGGTAAGCTCGCGCAAATGGGGCACACCGCGCTCCCGTGTCCCTCCTCGTCGTCGTGCGTCTCCAAAATGTGATTCGCAAAGTTGGTCATCCCATCGTGGAAAATCGTTCCATCGTCCGGAAGATCATCCATCATCGCGTTCACGAGATGATACAACACGTCCCCGTCGTACGGTTCACCCTGGAGATCATCCCTGTCGTAAAACGTCCGCGCGTACGCCGCGGCGCACATGAGACACGCGTACTCCCCGTCTCCGTCTCCGAGACCGACCTCGTCATCGTCGTCCGAATCCCCCACCGTCCCCGCGTCCGACCCCGCGCGCGTGCCACCGCCCCCCAAACGTCGCGTCATCGTCTCGATCCCACGTCTCGGTCGCACCGACGCCCGCGTGAGCTCGCATCGCGCGTGATGCGTCGCCGCCGCGTCCAATCGCACGCGCGCGCCGCATCCGCACCCCACCCACGTCGCTCGCAACCGCGCCGCGGTGTCCCCATCCAATCGCATCACCGCTCCGCTCTCTCGCGCGCTCCGTCGACACATCGGACACGCGACGTCGGCGCGTCGACGCGCCCGCGACGCCAGCGTCCACGACTCGACGCACTCGAGACAGAACACGTGCCCGTTCCCGCACGGAAACATCACGGGCGAGGCGTAGGGCATGCGACAGACCGCGCACGTGAGCGACGCGTCGACGTCGTCGACGAACGATCGTCTCGCGCGGGCGTCGCTCGCGGGCGACATGCGGGCGGCGAGCGACGCCGACGGGCGATGGATACGGATCGTCACCGCGTCGACGGTGCGTGTGTGGGCGAACAGTACGGATGCCGATCGACACCGCGATCGAAAGGGTGACACCGACCCGGTCGCGCGTCGATCGAAAGGGTACAAGCGACCGGGTCGCGCGATCGATCGATCGAAAGGGTACAAGCGACCGGTCGCGCGTCGATCGAAAGGGTGAAAACGACCGGTCGCGCGATCGATCGATCGAAAGGGTGACACCGACCGGTGCGCGTCGATCGAAAGGGTGAAACCGACCGGTCGCGCGATCGATCGAAAGGCGTCGACCGGTGCGCGCGCGCGCGTCGACCGATGGGCGACGCGCCATCGATCGGCGCGCGCGCGATGGCGCGCGGACGCGACGGCGACGCGCGCGCGCGCGCGCCGAGGACGACGGCGTGTCACGACGCGGCGCGCGCCGGGGATCTCGGCGCGCTCGCGGCGGCGTTGGCGGAGGATTCGGAATGCGTGCGAGCGATCGACGCGCATCGACGAACGCCCCTGCATCTGGCGGCGCACGCGAACGAGACGGCGGCGATCGAGTTCTTGGTGCGACACGGGGCGAGGGTGAGCGCGGAGGCGATGGATGGGCGAACGGCGCTGCACTTTGCGTGCGCGAAAGGGAACGCGGAGGCGGCGCGGGCGTTGGTGCGACTCGGGGCGAACGCGAAGGGGATGACGTATAAGAGCGAGAACGCGCTGCATTTGGCGTGCGGGAGTGAAAACGTGAGCGTTGGATTGGTGTCGTTTTTGTTGCGGAAAAGGGTGAGCGCGCGGGCGGTGAGTAAGCGTGGGAGGACGCCGGCGGACTGCTTGAAGGACGACGCGCCGATCGAAGTGAGAGAGGCGTTGGAGAAGGCTTTGAGCGAGGCCGAGAGCGAGGCGCGGGAGAAGGGGGGAGGGGGAGATGAAGAGAAGGAGGATGGGAACGACGGTGCGATCGGGCCGAGCATTGGACCGAGCATTGGACCGAGCATCGGGCCGAGCGTCGGACCGAGCGTCGAAATCGGCCCGAGCGTAGGACCGGCGCCTCGACCGAGTGGCAAGGTAAACCGAGACGCGATCGCGGACGTCGTGGAGAACGAGGACACGGAATCGAAGCCGAAGAGACGTAAGGCTCCTATTGGGGCGATGTCGTTCGGAGAGGACGACGAGTAAAGTCGCGACGTCGCTTTTTTGAGCCACGATGGTGGTACTGTACCGGTAATTCTATTGACAAATGTAAATCAATAATCCATCAACGCCTCGGCGGACCTCTGGCACCGTTGAATCTGCTTTGTTTTGTGATGCGAAGTTTTTCCCCGGCGTCGTGTCGCCGCTTTCCGGACACCATGCCCAGGATTTTGTCCGCCTCGTCGTCATCCTTGAATCCGCGCTTGGCGCCCTTGCCCTTGCGCTCGTCTTGGTCGCGCATCTGCTGAATCGCGATGCGCTGCGCCTCGTTCACGCGATCGTACAGCAACATCACCGCCTCTTCCTCGAGCGGGTACTTGTCAAGCTTTTTGTTGATCAATCTCTCGATCTTTTGATACAGTTCAACGTCGTATTGCGTCACCATGGTCACCGCCAAGCCGGATCGACCAGCGCGCGCGGTTCGACCGACCCTGTGCACGTAATCTTTACTATTCTGCGGCACGTCGTAGTTGATGACGACATCCACGGATGGAATGTCTAAGCCCCGCGACGCGACGTCGGTGGCGATCAAGATGTTGCGCTCGCCAGCCTTGAACTTTTGCAGCGCCGCGATGCGCTTGGGCTGGGACATTTGCCCGTGAATCGGTACCGCGCCGAACCCCAAATTCCTCGCAATGAGCGCTAACTTTCGCGTCTGATCGCAAGTTCGCGCGAAAACGATCAAAGTCGACGCGCTCAGCTCGTTGAACAGGTACGTCGCGTAGCAATCCTTATGTTTCGCCGGAATGAACAGGTAATGCTGACGCAGCGAATCCACCGTCGAGTACTTTGCGCTCACCTCCACCTTCACCGGGTCCCTCAAACACGCACGCTGTAACTTCTGCACCTTACTCGTCATCGTCGCCGAGAACAGCTGCGTTCGTCGATCCTGCGGAATCACTCTCAAAATCTTATCGATCTCCTCCTCGAAATCCAAGTTTAACAATCTATCCGCCTCGTCGAGCACCAACACTTTCAACGCCTTCAACCCGAACCCTTTCGTGTTCTCCAAGTGATCCACCACCCTCCCCGGCGTCCCCACGACCACGTGCGGTCGTTTTCCTAACATAATCGCCTGCGACGTCATCTCAATCCCTCCGACCAACGTCGCCGTTCGCACTCCGATCCCCCGTCCCAGCGCCTCCACCTGCTCCGCAATCTGTATCGCCAACTCCCGCGTCGGGCTCAAGATCAACGAGTGATACGTCCGCGGCTCGTCCAGCAACGATTGTAAGATGGGTAACGCGAACGCTCCCGTCTTCCCGCTCCCCGTTTGCGCGAGACCGATGACGTCGCGTCCTTGAAGAGCCTCTGGTATCGATTTTTGCTGAATGGCTGAAGGTTCACGCCAACCGAGCTCTTCGCACGCGCTCACGAGCTCTTTACACAATCCGAGCGAGGCGAAAGTGGGTTTTTTGTCGTCATCGGCCGTGGTCGTCACCGCGTCGTCGTCCGCGCGCGGCATCGTGGGTGAAAACGCTCGCGCGAAGGAATGGCGGCTGGCGGCGCCGGTGGTTGGTCGTGGGTGCGTTGTATAGGGTTATGAGTTATAATATACGAGAATGTGGATTGGCGACGGGCGCGGCGCGGACGCAGAGGCGCGCGAGGACGACTCGTTCGTGCGTCGATCGTTGGGTGGGTAATAGTTACAAGATTGGATAGTACAGGATTGGATACGATGTGTAGGTACACGCGAGAAACGGAGTCGCTCGGACGACGGGCGTGGACGACGACGACGGCGTCGTCGCGACGGCGCCGACGAGGCGCTCCTCCGCTCGCTCTCGCGGAGAAAGAATCTAAATCTATGTCACGAAACGCTCTAAACGCTTCGACGTTCGAGCGCTAGAAATTTGAACGCGGATAACATCCATCCGTCTCTAACAAGAAGACCTTGGCGAAGAGCGCGGCGTTGCTCGCCGGTTCGGTTCGACCATCGGGCGCGTCGCTCGGCGGCGGATAAAACGCCCGAAGCGATGGAGATCTGTTCCCCGGTTTTACCCCCTTGATCGCCCTGACGCGTGACGGGAGGGATTCATGCACGACGTGCGGCTCGAAGTTCACCACGGCGTTCATGTCTACCCTCGGAAACTCGCGCTGGAGCTCCTCCAACGCCGCCGCGACGCGTTCCAAGTCATCCGTCAAGAGCGCCCCAGGATTCCCCTCTAAAATCCGCTCAGCGTCCGCTCGCGGGAACGCTCGCTTCAGCGCAATCATCCTCTGCGCGATTTCACTCAGCGGTAACTTCAAAACCTCCGGGCAGTGCCATAACATCCGCGCGACGCTCGTCCCGTTCGGCAGCAACGCCTCCAGGCGTTCCACCGCGTGCCCGAGCGCCTCCGGATCCCCGTACAGCTCCCGCGCCGCCTCCTCCGTGGCCAAATCTTTTCCCATCTCCACCAAAGCCGCGCGCATGGAGCCATCGATCGCGCCTTTTTGTCGCCAGAACGCGTCCAGCGCCTCGCGCTCGGCGTCGAGCTCGGGCGCCGGGAACAACCACGCGTTGCGCGCGATCAACCGCTCAAAATTCCCACTCGCGCCGTCTGGCGCGGAAGACAAATCGTCCGCGGCGCTGGCGACGCGCGCGCGTCGAGCGGGGCGTCCGGTGGCGCGCGAGAGAGAGGTTTTGCTCGTCGAGCGGACAATCACCATCATTTCTCGACGCGACGCCATGTTCGCCGTCGTCCGGCGCCGCGCGGGCGCCCGAGCGCTCGCGCGGGCGTTCACGTCGACGTCTGAGGCGACGCCGAACGCGTCGCGCGGGACAGTGTGGGCGGGGAGTGCATCTTCGAGCGGGACGGGCGCGCGCGGCGGCGGCGCGCTGCTCCTCCCGGGCGCTCTGACGTTCGGCCTGGGCGCGTGGCAGCTCGAACGACGCAAGGAGAAGATTGAGGCGATGGAGCGCCGGGCGGAGGCGCTCGGACGACGCGTGGAGGCGTCGAGGGCTGGCGACGCGGCGACGCGGACGCGGACGACGGTCGTCGGCGAGTTGGAGTGCGAGCGCACGGCGCGCGTCGGGCCTCGAGCGCGAAGCGTGCGAGGGGTGACGACGTCTGGGGCGCTCATCGTGACCCCGGTGCGATTGAGAGGGTCGAGCGGTGGGGGATGGTTCGGGAGGCGGACGCGGGACGCCGGCGCGAGCGAACGCGTCTTGCTCGTCCGCGGTTGGGCCCCGGAGAGCTGGGAGGACGCCAAAGGCGGGGCGTGCGCGAAGACAGAGGGGGTGACGCACGTGAGCGAGCAAAAGGGGACGTTCACGCCGGAGAACGACGCGAAAAGTGATCGATGGTTTTGGTTGGACGCGCCGGCGATCGCCGAGTCGAGAGGTTTGCCGAGGGAGACGCCTCTAATCATGGCGACGCGCAGGGGAGGTGACGACGCGCAGTACCCGATCGCGGTGAGCGAGGAAGAGTTGATGCAATTTCCCGTATCCCCGGAGAAGCACATGGGGTACGCACTGACGTGGTTTACGCTCTCGGCGTTCACCACGGCGCTCGCCGTGGCGAGAATACGCAAAAACGTTGGACACAGATTTTAGAGCGATGTGAAAGACTGTTGTAATGTTACCGAAGCGAGCGAACTATTGAGGGACGTAGATGGAGTGTATGCGATCTAAATCGGGCGCACGGCCCTTCGAGCACTGTCGCTCCGCGAGAGACGGAGTGACCAAATCCTCGGTGACGGTTATGTTTTGGAGCTGGGATCGTTTCTTGAGCGGGTAAATGGCGTTCGGCGGTCCACCCACGCTCGACTCGTGTCTGTGGTCGAACTCCAAGCAAAGATCGTTCACGAGATCTCGGAGCTCTCTGTCTATCAACACCTGATCGACTCCGCGTATGTATCGCGATTCGTATCCCGCCTGGCCCGAGTTTGAATTCCGCTCCTTTGTCGCAAACGGATCCTCTAGCGAATATCTCACGTTGAACAATCCGAGCATGGCGAGCGAAGTGATGACGGACATGCAGCACGCGTAAAAGATGACCCAATATCTCGTGTACGACGGAACATCGAACTGATCGGCGGGGTCGTAACCAGCCGCCTCGTCGTGCAGGATATCGCTCACGAGTTGAGCGTAGTACGGACCCCAGAAGATGGGATGAATGAGAATGTACACCCGAGCAAACGCGCGAGTGGCCATGGGCGTGCGGTACGTCTTCAAAAAGCACATGTTTTCCCACGCGTTGTGCCCTTCTTTTGTGAACTGCCGAAGGCGAGCCGATTCGTTCCCGGGCATTCCGGCGTACTTCAACACCTCCGTCGTCAGCGACATCTTCTGGAACAGCTCTCGCACGCGCTTCGCGATCGCCCATTGTAATTTCCGACCCTTGGACCAGGCGACTCGTCCGCGCTTCGTGTTAAGATGCACCAATCTCGTCACCTCGGGCGCGCTCAAAAAGTTGCGCACGTCGCACACGAGCGCCACCGCCAACCACCTCACCTCCTCCACGTGCTTCTCCGGCAAATTCTTCCGCCCATTATCGCCCCAATCCCAATCTCTGTGACCCTGATAAAAGCTCAAAACGCTCGTCTTGAACACGGCGAGCTGTTTCAGCGCCTCCTCTCTCCGCCTGAACGCCGCGTCCAGCGACCCCGTGAGCGGATAGATGATCGCGAACGACACGAACGTCCACGACAGATTCACAGCCATCCTCCGTCCACGCACCTCATACAGGATGAAAAACAACGCCGACGCGACCGATATCGCCGCCACGATCACGCTCTCCGCCGTGATTAAAAATTTACTAAACACTCGAAACGACGCGACCAAATTCAGCACCGCCGCCCGCGCGCTTCCGAGCTTTTCAAACTCCAAATCCCCATCCAGCGGTCCGGGTTCCTCGAACCGTTCGAACGCCGCGTTCGCGTCCAATCTGTACTGCGTGTAATCCGCGCGCTCGAGCGTGGACGCGGCGCTGAGCTGTCGACTGTGCGTCGATCGTCCATCGTCCGAGCCATCATCATCACTCGCGTTCGCGCGTTCGCGCGTCGCATCGCCCGCCATCGCGTCGTCCACGCGCGTCGCGAACGCGTCCGCCATGACGCGCGCCGAGACGCGACGCGCGTCGCCGTGCGCGGCGTCGCGCGCGCGTCGCGACGACGATGCGTGGTCGAGTCCCTCGAATCACGAGTCATGACTCGTCACACACACACCCATGGCCCATCGGCGGCGGCTCTCGAGCATCGCGCGCGCCGCACACGCCGCCGCGCGACGCCCCCGATCGATCGCGCGTCGCTCGTCGACGTCGCGCGCGTCGCCGACGCCGCGCGTCGACGCGATCGACCTCGAAGCATGGCCACGGGCTCGGTGCGATACAAATTCAAGAGCGCGAAAACCTTCGACGCCCTCGCGTTCGATGGCGCCTTCATCGCCGTCGGTGAGCTCCGACGACGGATCAGTGAGAAGAAAGGGCTGTCGAAGGACTCGGCGTGCGAGCTCGTGTTGCAAGACGCGTCGACTGGGGTGGATTACGACGACGACTCGGCGTTGGTGTGGAAAAACGCGAGCGTGATCGCGCGCCGGGTGCCGGTGATGCGCTCGCAGGCGATCGGGACCTCCCAGGGGGCGAGCGTGGTGAAGAAGGTTGTGTACGTCGCGCCGCCGGACGTGTCGCAGATACCGAGTAAATCGAGTCAACGACGATTGCAGATGAATTTGAATAAGATTACGAAACCGGAGGGCGACGTCGCGGGCGAGGATAACGCGTTGGCGAACATGGCTCGGGAGCAGACGCAGAGTTGGGAGAGCGAGAAGTTGGCGGCGAACGCGCAGGCGGGGGTGAGAGGGGGGCGGGGGGGGGGGCGAGGGATGGGTCGACGCGGGGACGGACCGCCGGGTCCGGGGTACATTTGCTTCAAGTGTAACAAGGGTGGACATTGGATTCAGGATTGTCCGCTCGCCGCGGATACCACGGTGGAGATCGTGCGGACGAAGCACGCGTACGGGATTCCGCAGACAAAGCTCGAGGCGGCGACGGGAGGGATCCTGGTCGCCCCCACGGGGGAGTCCGCGCAAATGGTAGCCGCGGAGGATGAGTTTCAGAAGATGTTTGGCTTCTTACAGGATCGCGGGAAGGAGACGCTGGCGCTCGGGAACGGTGAGAGCGAGACGCTCGCTCTCGGCAACGGCGAAAATGACGAGGGGGAGAAGCCCGAAGCGGATAACGCACCCAGCGAGCCGGCGCCTCCGCCGCTTCCCGCCGGTTTCGTTCCTCCGATGCCGCCCGGTCCGCCTCCGACGGGAGCGCTGAAGCGCGAGCCCGCGCCCGCGCCCGCGCCTGAGATGAACATGGATCTCCTCGATCCCATGGGGATCATGTCCATGGACACCTCGCTCGAGGGCTTACAAAAGATGGCGGAGGAGCTGAAGAAACAACAAGATCTTCTGGATTCTAGTAAATTGAACGTATTGGGGGTGAGCGCGCCACCACCGATGCCACCGATGCCACCGATGCCACCGATGCCGGCGATGCCTCCGCCGCCAGCAGACGCGGCGAGAGGCAATGTGCCCATGGGACCGCCGGTGTTCGAGGAGGACGAAGACACCATCGTGATGTTAGCGGGAGAGGAAGAGGAGCCAGAGCCAAAGGCTTCGCGTGCGCCGCCACCGCCGCCCGCGATCAGACCGGGGCCGCCGCCGCCACCGGCTGTGATTCCCGACGACATCGCCAAGGCGCACGAGGAGCAGATGCAGGCGCAAGAGAACGATGTTCGCGCGCGCGATGACTCGCGCGAACCGGGACCGCGTTTCGGAACGGGCGTGAGACAGTCCACCAATCGTGGCTCTCGCGGAGGGAGAAGAGGTCGCGCAGAGTCTCGAGAGCCACCGGCGTCGAAGCGAAATCGCTCGCGCGATACCTCTCGCGACGCAGTTCCCAAGCGCGGTCGCGTCACGCCAACCGAAGGCGAGCCGAATGCGAAACGACGCAAGGACGATAGTGGTAGCGTATCGAGAGATAACTCGGCGGAAAATTTAGCCAGTGGTGGTTCGAGACGGTCGCGGGGTGGAAGACGTACTCGAGGCGGAAGGAACAGACGCGGCGGAGGCGATGGCGGAGGCGGAGGCGGAGGAAGGAGCGACGTCTTGACGAGGATTGGATCGTAACTTGATGCGACAAAGAATGATTGAAATACAATTAAATACAGTTTGAAGAGCACGCAAAAGAACCCCGCGCACGCGCTAGCCGAGCGTGAAATTTTCACGACGAACCGGACGCCTGTGCGAAGCTATGGGCATTTTTCGTCGCACTTCGTCCACATATTCGAGCGAAATCTCCCCCACGGCGATCCCCACGCCCTCTTCCGGGTCGTCTAATTTCGCTACGATTTCCCCCCACGGATCGATGATCATCGCGTGCCCGTAACTCTCCCGCGTCTCACTGTGTCTCCCGCACTGCGCCGCGGCGACGACGTAGCACTGCGTCTCGATCGCTCGCGCGCGCAGTAAAACCTCCCAGTGCGCTCGTCCCGTGATCTTCGTGAAAGCGCTCGGAACGATCAAAATATCCGCTCCGTGTTCGAACCTCAACGCCTGATACACGTCCGGGAACCGCACGTCGTAGCACACGCTGACGCCGACGGTTCCGAAATCCGTCGCGTGCGACGTCAACTCCCGGCCCGGAGCCGTCCATTCGCTCTCCATCAACCCCCCACCGCCCACGCCCACGCCCTCCGCATCGAACAAATGAATCTTTCGATACGGTTCACCGTGTATCGTTCCGAGCGGGGTTAACAAGACGTGCGTGTTCCTTCGTCTCGCGTCGCCGCCCGCGTCGTCCCGCTCCGCGACGCCGCCGAGCGACATCCACATCCCGTGCTCTCGCGCCATCGCCGCGCACGCGCGAACGATCGGGCCATCCAGTGACTCCGCGGTCGCGATCGACGCCTTCCCTGAGCGCGAGATCCTGGCGAACGCCTCGGGGAGGAAGAGCGCGACGCACTCGAGCTCCGCGGCGCGCCGCGCGAGCTCGGCGCACGTCGACAAGTTCGCCTCGACGTCCTCGGTGGAGCACATTTGGGCGACGGCGACGCGGGTGCGTCCACGCGTGGGGTTCGAGCGCGCGTCGGCGGCGACGGCGGGCGGAGACGGGGTGGGCGCGGCCATCGGGACGCGGCGCGCGAGCGGGACGCGGCGCGGAGTGCGGACGACGAACGGTCCATCGGGAGATTTGGGGAACGTGGGATGAACACACGCGTGGGGACATTAGTTTTGAACGACGTGACCGCGCTCGAGGTCGTACGCGCCGTCGGATGGGCGGACGGTGGCTGGGGTGAAGACGCCGCCGCGATACGCCGAACTCAGCGGACTGAACGGCGTCCCGGGACGTTCTCTCGGTTTGCATCGAGCGCGGAAGCGGAGCTCGATGCTCACTCGCCCTTTGATGGCGTCTTTGCGGGCGGCGATGGGGTCGGGGGCGCCGTTGCGTAGGTCGCGCTTGTCCTCGGGCGCCCACGTCCCGGCGCCGTGCCACATGTCGAAAGAGTCGAATATCATGTACGGCGCGGTGATCCACACGTGCTCGTCGCTCGCCTCGAGCTCTGGAGAGCCTCTGGACATGTAGTTCGGGTCCTGGACCTCGAATTTATCCTCCTTCTTCTTCGTGCTGAACGCCTGCATCACCATCGGCGCCGCGCTCATCGGGTTGGCTCGAATCTTCTCCATCGTCGCCTTGAACTGGCTCCCCGCCGTCTTTTTCGCGTCGTCCTCGACGTTATCCTCCGGTCTTCGCACGTCGTACGTCCACTCTCGAGCACCACCGTCTCTGGGGAGCAACACCACCAGGGGCTTATCCCACGCCTGCCCCGTGGGATCCCTCGGCGACCGCAAGAGCCAAATGTTATAGTACCGATAACTGTACTCATCGCTCCGCTCCATCCCCGCCTCCATCCAACCCGGGCTCTTGTAATCGATCGCGTCCGGATCTCGGTGTAACCTGCCGAGAGGGTTATATTTACTCATGATGAAATCCTCCTTCGTTCGTCGCTGCATGAAATCGATCGCCCTGTCGTACTTGTCCCGCTCGTTGACGAACGCGACGCCGCTCAGCACCTCGCCGCCGTTCTTCGGATCGCACTCGTCCGGAAACGCTTCCTCGAGCAGCGCCTTCCCCGCCTCGAACGCTTCGGGCCACAGAGTATGATGCCCAGCGTTCTTCGCCTTGACCCCGATCGCGTTCCATCCCGCGTCGACGACTCGGAGGAGCTCGCCGAGCTTTTCACTCTCTGGATCGATGATGGAGACGAATCGCTCCGCTTTGTGCGCCCGAATCGCCTCTCGCGCCGCGTCATTGATCAGCACCGTCTTGTCGACCGAACCGTCCTTGTACGGGACGCTAGCGACGCGTTGAACGGCGTCGGGAGCGATCGGGACGGATGGCGAGCTGGTGGATAACGCTCGAGTATTCGTCGAATCTCGCTTCGTCAAGCGCGCTGCGTGGCACACGCGCGACCCGGATGGTATCGCGTGAAGTATTTGCATCCTGACGGACCGTCGAGCGCGCCGGCGCGAGGTGTGGCGCGCGCGTGGACGAGTGCAGATGTTTGACGCAGATATTTTCGCGAAGGCGGGCGTTGTACAAAACATCAATGACAGGAATGTAAGGGTTCTAAGACGATCTCTCGTCGTCAGCGAGGTCGGATGATTCTATGTCGGCTTCGAGCGCGAGATCGACGTCTTCTTCGGCGGCTTCTTCGCGTTCAGCCGCCTCCGCCGCCTCGGCGGCTTCCGCCTCGCGCGTCGCGCGCTGTTGACTCTCCAACCACTGCATGATCTGCGCGTGCGAGAGCTCAGGGTGAAGGCTCTTCATGACGTGAATTAGCGTCGGTCGCGGACGGACGAGGACCATCTTGTGAGCGTCGGTGTGATTTTGTGCGAATCTGTAGTCGCGCTTGCGATTGGGGTGCTCGAAGACGTTTTGCATGCACTTTGAGCACAGATCGAATCCCATGAACTCCTCGGTCGCGCACTCTTCGCACTGATATCGAGGTCCAACGATCGGGTAGACACCGCAAAAGTCGCACCCGACGCCGTAGTGCGTGAAGGTTTCGTGATTGAACACGAGTGTGGTCGCGCCTCCGATTTCCACTGTCGAACGCGCGGACTCGCTATCATCGTTCTCGTTCTCGCTCAATTCCTCGTCCTCACCGTCACCGCAAGCGACTGTGGCTGTTGCGTTCATCTCCACGCCGCGTTCTTCCGCGAGACGTCGCTCCTCCGCCTCCTTACGCTCAATCTCTCGCTCGAGCGCCACCAAACTTCTCGCCAGCGTCTCGTCGCACCTCTTTCGAGACGCCTCGATGAACGCCTTCGGGTACGTCGCCTCCACGTCCTCCTTGAGCGCTAAAATCACCCTCGTCGGTTCTCTCGTCGCTCCGCACGCGACGCACCACTCACCGCCCACGCCCGCTCGGGCGGTCAACACGTCCGCGTGCGCGCGCTCGTATAGCGTCCCGCACTGTTGACACACCACCGGTCTGCTCGCGATCTCCCCGCAAAACGCCCCGATATCCCCGACCGGCTCTCGGCTGTGATTCAAACACGCGCACGCGTGAAACGCCGCGACGTCTCGCCCGAGCGATGGATCGAACGTCTCGCACCTCCCGAGCGTCCCGCGCGCGCCATCCTTCCCTCGCTCCACCGCTTCTTTCATCGCACTCGAGATCGCCTCGTCGCTCTCCATCGCGTCGAGCGCTTGACCAAAGTCCACGATCGTCATCGCATCTTCTCCTGCGTGTCGTCCGACCGACGCGGCGTCGCACCGCGCGAATGTCGGCGACTTGTGCCCGCGCTCCACTTCCTCCGCTCTGTTCTGCTCCAATCGCTCCGCGAACGCCCCGACGTCGCACCACAGATGATGATTCTCCAACGCCCTCGACAGCGCCGGCAGGGCGTTGAACGGGGCGCGACAGAGCGCGCAGTGGGACTCCCCGAGGTGTGACATTGCGCAGTGCGTGCACCACAAACACGCGACGTGCCCGCACGGCAACACCGCGGGCTTCACGCAGAGCTCGCGGCACACGGGGCACTGCTTATCAGAAGAGCCCTCTCAAAGCCGCGTGTGTGGAAGCCCAACGCGGGCCCGGAACAATAACGCCGCTTCCCCGGTTGTGCGGCGCGGCGAGAGAGACGGTTGGGCCGGCCGGACGCGCGGGACGCCGTCGGCGACGCGAGAGTCGATCGAGCGACGCGTTCGCGACGCCGACGACGTGAATAAGCGTAATAAATGACTTTTTTACACGTAGTGTACAGATCAAGCGATGGCTCGAGCGCTGGCGCGGGTGACGCGCGCGGCGGGCGCGGCGGGCGAGGCTTTCGCGCTCGACGCGCGCTTCGCGGCGGCGCGCGCGCGCTTCGGCTTTGGTGGATCGGTCGTGTGCTCCGCTTCGGGCTCGCGCTTGATCTCTCGCTTGATGGTGATCGCGCGATCGGTCTTGAGCTGCAGCTTTGGGACGTACGCCGTGGTTCGACCGCCGACCTCGATGAACTTGATGGCGTCGCCGTTCACCTTGGCGCCATCCGTCTTGCCCCAACGCTGGTGGAAGAGCCAATCGGACGGGAATAAATCGTGGTCGCTGTTCGCCGCGCACGCGACGGTGACGACCTCGAGTATGCGCTCGCGAATCGCCTCGAGCTGAGAGTCGGTCATCTCGTTCGCCCGAGTCTCCGGGTGCACGCGCGCGCGGTATAAGATTTCTGTCGAGCGAAGAGACGCGATCGCGTCGTCAGTCCGTGTTCGCTCAAACCTGGGACAAAGCGCGAAATTCGTCGATATTCTAGAAACATACCGTCAGCCATCCAATTTCCGATCCCCGCCATGATCTTCTGATCCATCAGTGCCGTCTTAATCGGCGCGCTTCGTCGTTTCCACATCGCCGCGAACGCGTCGCCCTCCGGCAGCGCCTTCGACGGATCCACCCCCAGTCCCCCGATCACTTCCTTCACGTCACGCACGAGTTTAATCTTTCCAAACCGTCTCGGATCGACGTACGCGAGTTCGATCCCGTTATCGAACGCAAACGTCGCCTTCGCGAACCGCGGCGGCCAATCGCCCGCGCCCGTCGCCTTTGAGTTATAATACTGAATCCCATCCAGCCCTCGCACGACGAACGCGCCCGTCATGCCGAAGTGAAAACACGGCACTTTCGCGTCTTCCCCATCCAGGGTCCACCACAGCTGTTTCCCGTGTCGTTCGCTCGCGATTATTTTTCGTTTCGCGAGCGCCGACTCGAACGCACCGACGTCGACGTCGACGAAAACTTTGTCATCCAACACCGGACGGTGCACGGACGTCATCGTGGATCCGAGACAGAGGTCGTGGACGAGACGCCGCGCTCTTTCCACCTCCGGGAGCTCGGGCATCGTGGAACGCGTGGAGCGTCGTGAAGTGATGATGACGCGACGACGCGACGACGCCGCGGCGCCTCCGGGACGGCGGCGACGGAGGCGTCAAGGAGGAATGAATTACACATGTGCCGCGAACGATGAAGACGCTTTGAAGGCGCCGATCTATCACGCGTCCTTGTTTTCGCGCTTGGCGGCGAGACGACCGAGGAATTGGAAGAATCTGTACCGCTTCGACATTTTCCAAGGACGCGCCTCCGGGAACGGCAGGGGCGAGCCGATGGCGTTGAACAAGCCAAAGACGCCGCCCAATCCGCCCGTGTTCCCGAGCGTTCGATCCATCACGACGCCGACGGTTATTTTGGTAATCTTACCCTCTTCGTTGAACGTCATCGAGAGCGCCTGGGGCGGGCACACGACCTCCGTGCCCGTGGCTTCGAACCGTCCGGCGAGCTTCCCGGCGTGCGTCCCCGTCGTGCGGTTCTGGAACCACACCCGGTTCGTCTCGAACGGATCCACTCGGAAGTGATGATAATTACTCTTCATGTCCGGAAATCCCGTGGTGAGATCGAACCCCCCGACCGCTCGCACGAACGCATCCTTCCCGAGCGGTCCCACCACCGGGCCGATGAATTCAAAGTTCTCCGCGAGCTCGTCGCCAATGGCTGCGAAACCGCTTCGAAGCGCGCGCTTACACCGCACGATGAGCTCATCGGGGGTGATCGGGAACGTGTTCGAGGGGCCGTACAGCATCTCTCGCTCGTCCACGACGTCGTAGATCGCGCTCGGGTTCGGGGCGTCGATGGATTCATCCGTCATCATCGACGCTGACGTCATCGCATTCGCCATCGTGCGCGTCGACGACGCCGTGCGGCTCGCCGTGGAGACCGCGCGACGGGCGCTGGATGCGACGCGTGGGCGCGCGTGCGAGGGCGCGATCGAACGCATGCGAGCGACGGGAGGTGCGCGCGTGGGTGTGGCGCGTGGGCGACCGGGACGGCGACGCGGACGCGCGGCGGACGCGCGGCGGGAGAGACGACGCGGGCGAGCGAGAGGGAATTCGAGACGATTGCGCGCGGCGTGGACGGATCGTCACAAATCGTTTTCTATCAGCCACTTTTCGAGCGCGCGCGCGGCGCGCTCCCAATCGCGGTCGAGCATGACGTCGTGGGCGACGCCACCGAGCACGTCGAGCGCGGCGGCGGCGCCGTACCATCTCGCCGTCTCCTCTAAACCCTCGCGGTCGACGACGAAATCGCGATCGCCGCCGAGGACTAAGATTGGAATGTCGCGATTGTTCGTCCCGCTCGGTCTGGGCACCGGGAGCTCGGCGTCGAGCGTCTTCAAATCGAACATGCGCAGGGCGCCGCTGGAATCAATCTTCTTCATGAAGCGCTCGACGTCGCGCTCGGGCAAATCTGGAGAAAAGAAACACTCCCGACACAGCGATGCGTTCTTCCCGAACGCTTTCGTGATGAACGCGTACGTAATCTTCAGGCTCGCCCACAGATCGCGCTTTAAGAATCGCTTCACCATCGCTCCGTTTCCGCTCGGCGGGACGCTCGCGAGGAGCGCCAAACCGCCCAATCGCACGTCGTCCGCCGCCACGCGCTGCGCCACCAATCCCCCGAACGAGTGTCCAACTAACACTGGCGCCCGTCCGCTCGTTCCCGCTTCGCCCATTCCGCGCTCGATGACGTCTCCGACGTCCCGCGCGTGCTCCGCGAGCGTCCCGGCCGCCGCGCGCCCGGGCGTCGTCCCCGACGCGCCGTGCGCTCGCAGCGACACCGACACCGTGGCTCGCCCGCGAGCGTTGAAATATCTCGCGAAATATTCCTCGTAGCACCACGCGGCGTGATACGAGCCGTGGACGAAGACGAGCGGTGCGCCGGTCGTCGTCGTCGAACTCGCGGGGGTCCCGATGACGCGCTCGAGGACGACGCCGTCCGGTAGGACGTGTTCGGTCGAGGCCGACGCCGATCGGACGACGCGCGCGCGAGGGTGCGGAGCGATCGATCGAGCGGGCGCGGTGGGGGCGAGGGCGAGGCGCGTCGACGCCATGGCGAATGGCGCGATGCGTCGCGACCCATCGCCCGTGGATGCGCGTGGGTGGTCATCATCAGACTGTTTGCTCACACGTGAGAGCGTATTTGTGTGTGATTTTCTCCATGGTGAAAACACCCGCGTGTGTGGGTACACAGACACGCGTGGGTGGTCATCATCAGACTGTTTGCTCACACGTGAGAGCGCATTTG